CTGGTGTTGGTGTTGCTTCTAGGCCCTCTCAGTTGACAGAGAGATAACAAATATATGCAGGAATATTTGCATATATACATAAACGTGTGTGTGTGTGTGTGTGTGTGTGTGTGTGTGTTAGGTATACTCCTTTTACTCCTGTAAGTTTTTTTTTCCTTTTTTTAAAAATATATTTTATTGACAGAGAAGAAGGGAGAGGGATAGAGAGTTAGAAACATCGATGAGAGAGAAACATCGATCAGCTGCCTCCTGAACACCCCCCACTAGGCATGTGCCCGCAACCAAGGTACATGCCCTTGACCGGAATCAAAGCTGGGACCCCTCAGTCTGCAGGCTGACACTCTATCCACTGAGCCAAACCGGTCAGGCTACTCCTGTAAGTTTTAAAAGTATATTTATAATATCGTTATATTATTTTGTCACAGCTTGCATTCCATCCTAGGAAATCCCAACATCCTAATTTTTTAAAATTTGTGTATATGAAGGTTCACTCATTGTTCTGTGCAATTCTAATGGTTCTGACAGGTACATTATGCCATGTATCCATATGACAGTATTGTCATTTTAATGTCTTAAAAACAATCCCATAAGCTTTCCTTATTAAGCTTCCTAGAACCCTCCTGAGTCTCAGACAATCCCCATCTCTGGCTCCCATGATACTTCCATCTGTCCATACATGACAACTCAAAAAGGGGAGGGGCATACTATGTTTCTTTAAAGCAAAAATTTTCTATTGAATGCTGCAGGTACCAGTGAAAAGGAGTCATTCAAGGGAATTTTTGTCTATTAGAAAGGACTATAAAAATATCTTTCTCCCTGGCTATGTAAATGATATATAAAGATGATAACTATTCCCACTCAAATTCTGTGCAGTTTCTCCTTATATGGACCTAGAGAATAGATGATTCCTCCTGTGTCTTGTGAAGGATATTGGCTCCCTACTGCAAGGCACGGTGTGGATTTAGTAAGATGTAGTGTAAATCTTCCTAATACAATAAGATTAGATGAGGACGTCATTTTCCCTCTTATGTGCCATTGACTGCTGCCCATATAAAAGCAATGAACTGAAATGTCAGATTCCTAGGAACGTTAGAACCAGAGCGGGGGCTGGAATACCCTTTCTCCAGGGCTTATAAAAGGATCACGCATCTCTTTGAACGGGGAGAGAAAGAGAAAAGGAATATTCTCCATTCAGTCCGAAACACAGCCCCTTCATGCTGAGTGCAATGTCACTCCTCCATCCATTTAGATACCCTGATCTATTAATGGATGTAAGGTAACCTACGGTCTTCTGTGCTTTGTTCTTTTTTTAAAGTTACTATTAGAGGGAAAAAAACACACAAAACAGGTGATCAAGACTGAAAACCTAGGGCAAAATTCCTACCTGAGCATGCCTTCATTGTCCTCTTCCTCACCTTGACACAGTCATCTGACTAATGATACTCACCGCTGGATCTTTTGTTGTTGCGGCTGGCTTGCTCTTCCTAAGTGGTTATCAGGGCTGCTGAAACCATCAGGTGGCGATGAAATAATACCAAACAATCCCCACACACTTATGTATATGTAACAAGTGCCAACGTCAAAATTAAACGGAAGGTGAAGTGCCGGTATCCATCTTAAGAGCTGCTCTTGTGGTGTCTCCCAGCTCCGATAAACACTGCATAAGTGCACAGTAAGGGCCTATTAAGGGGACTGCACACAAGGAAAGTAAGACCATGTGATGCGAATCTGGCATTGTCTCCACGGCTTGATTTTGCACGAAGGATGTTGGGGGCAGTAGATTTTTCATAAGCATGGACAGCAATGCCTAGTCCTGTTCAGGCTTTGCTGCATTTTCACCTTTTCTTGCCCTGCACCCCCATACATATTTTTTAGATTATGCATTGAAGTCGAACACCCGAACAGTAAAATGCATATGAGAGCACCAGCCCCCATGTCGAACAGATTAGTGTAATCAGGACCCAGATAGAAAATCAGAATTGTACCAACCTGCACAATTCAATCCTGTGCCTGCCTCCTGCCACTATTCCCGTAGACTCGTAACTCACATCCTCCCTTCTGAGAGCAGCGACTGGTCTGCTGCTTTTGCTTCTGTGTCTGGTTCCTTTCTCCCCATACCCCCAACAGACTTGAAACCAGGTCTACCAGATAGATGAATTGGGTCTGTGAATGAATCAGCGAATAGATTGATTATTCTACTCATTCATTCTGTTGTTCCTCTCTTTGCTTCTCTTCTTCCCTGTTTTCATCCTGGCTCTGGAAGGCGACTTCAATACTAGAAATGCTATTTGGGGTTTCCTTTTATTAGGTATCTGGCTCAAGGCAGCTAAGTGGGGACTCCCAGGCCAAGGCTAAGGTTGTGGTTCAGGCCGATCTCCAGCACCATCTCTTAGTTATACCAATGGTCAGTGACACCACGGGGACATCAAAGAGGTCCGTAATCGCCTCAAATAAACCTTACTTTTCTGCTAACAGAAATTCACTTATGAAAACTACATGCATTCCAAAGAAAACAAAATAAAACGACTCTTTTTCTCCCCTACTTTCTTTTGTTTGTTTGTTTCAACCCCTGTTTCTCTATTTTCTGTAATGACATCACAAACTACATTTAGCATACATTCATGGAGCACCTGCATTTATAGGCAGTGATGTCACAGAGATAAAGCTGCACTTACAGATAGAAAGAATTAGTGATTAAGAGGTGTTTTTTCCCCGCTGGAGTTTGCAGGCCTTGTTGCCAATCCAGACCTTTCCATTGCTCTTAGAAATAAACATAAGTGGAGTTGAATTATTTTATAATAAGTAAGGATCACCTTTTCTTTTCTGATTTCTCTCACCATCTTAATCCAAGAAACAATTATATTTCCCTTGGATCCCTGCCTAGCCTCCATACTGTCATCTACATTCGCTAGTCCACACATTCTAAAGCAGGGCTGAGGAATGTCCTGCCCGCAGGCTGTATAACGCCTGCAAAATCATTTGGTCACCTGCCAAGGCACGAGGGGTGAACTAATTAAATATTGGACCAAATATGGGAGACTAATATTTTTAAATATATTTTTATTAATTTCAGAGAGGAAGGAAGAGGGAGAGATAGAAACATCAATGATGAGAGAGAATCATCAATCAGCTGCCTCCTGCACACCCCCAACTTGGGATCAAGCCCACAACCCAGGCATGTGCCCTGATTGAGAATTGAACTGTGACCTCCTGGTTCACAGAGCGATGCTCAACCACTGAGCCACACCAACTGGGCTCAGGCTAACTTGTAGGCCTGTTGAAGATTTCATCTTGTTCTGCCTTTTCCTGCATACAAATTATAATTGATTCATCTGTGCTTGACTGGTAACTCCCTGAGGGTGGAGCCTCTGTTTCCTTTGTCCCTTATTGTCTTCAAGCGCCTATAACGGGTCCGAACACATAGCGGCTAGCTCAGAAAATATGTATGAAACAGACAGATTAAGGAAGGGAGGCCTAAGGTAATGAGCAAGGTTCTTGCTAAAGATTCCAGGTGCAGTTAGGGGAGCAGACAGAAAACCTCCTGCAGAGAGCTCCGGTGTGCAAGGTAACTCTTGCTCGCGATGTGCGGTCCTCGCCGGTGCAGAGGAAGAGGCTGAGAGAGGTCCAGCGATGACCGGGGCACAGAGCTATTTGCGAGGATGCTAACAAGGAGCCGGGGCAGTGATAGCATCCGAGAAATCCAACGGTG